TTATTTTTGTACATATATAAGTTTTTCTTTCTTTAAAATTTTGGGAGGCACTTTCTTCTAACAGACCAAAATACACCCAAAATCTAGTGTGTGGCACTGATCTATGCACCAGCCTGATCATATTTGATCACATTCTGGTTTTTTTGTTTTGTCCTGTTTTTGTTTGTTTTTATCTTTTTCTTTTTTTTTTTTTTCTTTCTTTCCTTTTCTTTCCCCTTGGCTTCAGGTCTTTTCTGATTTCTTTAGAGTATATTTTCTAGGGACGTTGTTACCCTATTAGCATTTTGTTCTCTCATTAATCTATTGTCCTCTGCACAAAATGACAAGATGGAAAAATCACCTCAACAAAAAGAACAAGAGGTAGTACCGACTGCCAGGGACCTACTCAATATGGACATTAGTACAATGTCGGATCTAGAGTTCAGAATCATCACTTTAAAGATACTAGCTGGGCTTGAAAAAAGCATGGAAGTTATTAGAGAAACCCTTTCTGGAGAAATAAAAGAACTAAAATATAACCAAAGCGAAATCAAAAAGGCTATTAATGAGGTGCAATCAAAAATGGGGGCGCTAACTGCTAGGATAAATGAGGAAGAAGAGAGGTATAGAGATATAGTGATATAGTGATATAGAAGACCAAATGATGGAAAATAAAGAAGTTGAGAAAAAGAGAGACCAACAACTACTGGATCACGAGGACAGAATTTGAGAGAAAAGCGATACCATAAGACAAAACAATATTAGAATAATTGGGATCCCAGAAGAAGAAGAAAGAGAGAGAGGGGCAGAAGGTATATTGGAGCAAATTATAGCAGAGAACTTCCCTAATTTGGGGAAGGAAACATGCATCAAAATCCAGGAGGCACAGAGAACCCCTCTCAAAATCAATAAAAATAGGGTCAACACCTCTACAAATAATATTAAACTTAGGAGTCTCAGAGACAAAGAGAAAATCCTGAAAGCAGCTCAGGAGAAGAGAGATGTAAGCTACAATGGTAAGAAACATTAGATTGGCAATAGACCTATCCACAGA